ATGTATAAATTACTTCGTGCAAAATTTGATAATGGACATGAATCTAAATGGTTAAAGAATTTGAAATCAATTTTAGACAATTGTGGATATAGTAACATTTGGAACCAGAATCAATTATTTAATAGAACTTGGCTTATTAAAAGTTTGAAACAAAAATTACTAGATCAATTTCAACAAAATTGGAATTCAACCTGTAATGATTCTTCAAAAGGTGTGACATATAATCTATTTACAAATTTTCACTTTGGATGTCAATTTTATGTAGATAGCAGGTTAAATAATTATAAGAAACAAATTTTAGCTAGATTTAGAACAGCAAACCATAAATTACCCATTGAAACAGGAGGATGGGAAGGTATTGAAAGAATTAATAGAATATGTCTTTTATGTAAAAATGATCTTGGTGATGAATTCCACTATATTTTATGTTGTGAAAAATTAAAAGATGAAAGAAAATTGTACATTCCGAAATATTATTTTACAAGACCAAATATTATCAAATTTAATGAATTGTTTTCTTCAAAAAATGTTGGACTATTGAGTAAACTCTGTTCTTTTATTAAAATTTTAAACGAGAGAGTCAAACCTCCAGGTTAACATCAATGTAAACATATATGGAAATACTTGATTATAAGCACACTTTGTATATATGTTATATGTTATGCTCACGCATGTATGTATATATGTTATAATAATATGTATTGATCTCTGTGTTGTTAAATAACAACCAAAGAGATGTTAATAAACTGGTAAACTGGTCACAAAGATCCATTCATGAAATCACAGACCCGATTTCAAAAGCAGCTTTTTATTTGTCATAATGTGATATTAAAAAAAACAGAAGAGACAGCCAATAAAAAGTAACTCAAATATGAGATAAAAATATAATAAAAAGTTATTAGGACCACAACAAAATCTTATTTGAATATTGCAAATTATAACCAGAGCTGACACGGACCCATGAATACACTAGAGGAGAGACAAGTTACAATGGAGGAACCAACATCGGCTGTCAAGCCACACCCATAAAGTGTCTTTTGTCTTGATAAGGTAATAAACAAATCAATCTGAAAATAATTTTATAACATTATTACATAACAATAATTTTGGTATATAAAATGCCGGTCAACATTCGTCCCACCAGAAAATTGAACTTCAAACATTTGAACCAAACAAGGTAGTGTTTATACTATAAAAGTGCTAAATACATTTGTACCCTCGTTACATTATCTCATTTGCTGGTATCCTGCCTAGTTTTAGAAATTTATCGAACGTAAAACATGATCTATTCAGCAAACTCCATTTATCATTAAGTCGAATGCTCACTGACATTTTTCAAACTATTTGTTAGGTCATCATTTTATAACTGAATTCACTACGAATTTTCCCCTTTTTTGCGATCAATTGAAAGAGTAAATAACGGGTGCGACTGGTCGACAGGGGCACCTTGCCCCTCCATGACACCTTATCCAACCTCTGATGGATGATGTTTACTCTGCTTTCGATTACTGTTTCAAAGAATTTTTACTTCTTTTTTCCAGACTTAAATACACACTATGTAATAAAAATGAGGACAATGATTAAGGAAATGAATAGTTTAGAATCCATTTGCTATGTACATAGTCTTGATGTATTACTACTATCAATATATACGTTCCTTTTGGTAGAAATGTCTGAGAGTTATTAAACATGCATTCTGGTGTCTTTATTGTTTGCATATTCCACATTTATGAATATCTTTTAAATCTTACCTACCTTGTATACGTGCAGATAAAGGAGAAATCAATTGCGAACTGTAATGTGCAAGGGAGGTCACTGCCTGTGAACCCCCGCGGGCTCGTAACGGATACGGATAGCCTTGAGATGCTGCCAATATGTACATTGCGCAGCCTTAATCACTTGGTACTGCGTATATAAGGTTCCTACTGGTAGCAAACAAGTGACACTGGCATGGAAGTCCACACACCAGCACACTTCCACAAGAGACAGGCAGGGATGACCGCACACTTGCCCTTGCTCAGTGACAAGCAGGGATGACAGCAAACTTGACACTAAGACACGGTTCTAGACTAGAGACACTGGCAGGGATGTCCACAAACCAATGTTCTACCACAAGAAGCAGGCAGAGATGTCCACACACCTGATCTTGCGCAGCAACAAGCAGGGTTGTCCGCACACTTGCTGCTATGTGATGCTAATTACAGAGCAGGAATGACCACACACTCGGTCAAGTAAAGAGCAGGGATGACCCACACTTACTACTTAAACCAGTACAATGTAAGAAGGGAAGTCCGCACATTTATTTGTGCTAATCACTGTTTTCTAGAAACTTTCCCCTACATTCTTGTTTTGATTGATCGGCAGTAAAAACCTTATAAATCCCACATACCATATGAAATACTGAGTGATTTTTTATTTACAAACTAATTAAAACACTAATCAAGCTTTCAATCAACAAATCTTTATCAACCAAACTAAAGTAACATACAATGATTATAATTGATAACTTTAATCCGAATTCAACAATAATTAAGTATCTATTTTTAATGCATACAATAAGTAATAAAAATAACAAGGGCGATAACTTTCGCTATAATAAAAATATATGGAAAACAGCTTTCCGCTTCAGAACATTCAATTTTTATATTGAGTGCTGTTCTATATATGGCACATTTGGTGTTAACGAACAGTATTCAAGATCAAAAGTCCATAAAACAATACAAAATAGGATTATAGCATACACAGACATTTAAAACATCAGGTGAGATCAGGTGCCAGTTAGAAGTAAACATCCTCTGCCGACCGGTCTCACCCGCCGTGTGCTCCTTGTGATGATCGGGAAATTACGGAAAAATCCTTCGTCAATTCAGTGTATAAAGGACTAACAATTAGTATGAAAAACGTCAGTCAGCATTTGACTCAATGATTATATGTATTTGCTGACAAGGTCATTGTATCGACCATAGAACTTGAGATATGATGACTTTAAACGAAACTGCTGATAAATTTGTTTCATCAACTTGTTTGTCAATAATTTACCTCATTTAATAAATTGTTCATAGGTAGAGCATGCTCTTGTGTATCGATTCAACTAAGATACATAAACTCCGTATGCAAGTGATGAAGGTATATTTCTGCATAAGTAAGGGAAGTTGACGATTTTAAAGTTAAGTCATCATGTTTATCATAGAGCTTGGTTATTAGATTCCCATTACCGTCTTTTTCAAGTAAAATATCCAAATATGAAACAGATGTGTCAGACTCTGTAGTATCTTTTATCTCAAGATCACCGGAATATCGTATCGACATTATAAGATTGGAAATTACCATAGTTTATTGACAGTACGTCGTCGATATATCCAAATGTCGATTTGAAGGCCACAGCAAGTGTTTCCTTCTTTTCACGTTTACGATGTTGGACAAATTCTGCTCCATATGAATACAAAATAGGTCTAATAATAACGCGGCGCAATTGGGTAACCATGGGAATTCTAATAGATTGTTGGAAGACCTGGCCTCAAAACAAAATATAGATGTCAATCAGTACTTGTATGCACAATCAGAATGTTTTGTTTTTTTTAACAAAATAAATTTGAAAATGACAAGCTAAGTTAAGTTCCATTTTTGTTTATAAAGCAGTTGTCAACGATATCAAAAAGCCTGGGCCTTAAATTATCTTGGGAAATGGTTGTGTATAAAGTTGAAAAGTCGTAAGTTTTTAAGCTGTTGATTTTGGTAAGATCTTGTGATTTCAAATTCTCTAAAAGTTCCTTGGAAATTTAAGGTATCCATATCTGATTTACACCACTCCTTGAATATATTGTTGCGCAGTACTCTTGAAGTTTCTGCTTCACAACCGTTAAAATCATAGTGAGGAGAAAAGAAATAGGCTTGGTTGAGCATTTACTAGAACCCGTTTGGTATCTTTGTAAGGATTGTTATAAAGTTTCCGGATCCATTAATATTGATTTGGCATGTAGTTCAGATTCATTTTGGTTCTTTGGGATCTTAAGAATATTCAAAACTGACATATGAATTTGAAGAATTTCTTCCTTAGAAAGAGAACTATGAGTATAAGTTGAAATACCATTCGTAGAATTGAATCCAAGTTCTCCTAAAATACAGTTTACATAACAAAGTAATGGAATATTCGATGGGCTTTTATTATGCTCTTTACATCGGTAGAAAGCATTTTTTTTTCAATTTTAGATTGTTTTCTTATACATTTTTATATGAAATATATGGAGATAACGAACAGTATTCAAGCTCAAAAGTCAATTAAAACAATACAAAATAGGAGCAGAGCAAATACGGACCTCCAAAACGTCAGAGGTGGGATCAGGTGTCATGGAAAAGTGAGCATCCCCTGACGACCGGTCACACTCGCCTTGTGCTCCTTGTCATGATCAGGAAATAACGGAAAATCCGTCGTCTAATCAGTGTGTAAATAATGGACTAACAATTAGAATGAAAAACATCAGTCAGCATTTGACCCAATGATAAATTGTATTTGCTGACAAAGTCATCTAAATCAACAGAATAGCTAAAAAAAAATATCCCGACAATATTCGGATTAATTTTCTTTTAAAACTAGTGGGCCCAGATTAAATTTAAATTCATAACATTATCAATAAGAATTTCATTCGAACAATCATATGTCAATTTGACTCAACACTTGTTTATCAATTAAATAAAAATATTTGATTTATACAATAAACCATCCTTCTTGTGTTTTTATGTTAACATTTGCTTCGAGACATTTTACAAAAAGGTTTTCTAAATATAAAAATAGATACAAATAAAATCATACTCAAATAAATCAGAAAAGAAAACAAAAAGACAAATAAAAAAAATGCAGAAAAGATTTTTAAAACAATTTATTAATTTCTTAAGGCTCCGTCCTTGCCCTTTTGGGAAAATATCCGCTTTGAACCAGAATGCGGATAAAATAAGAAAAGGAGAAAAAATCGTTAGAGTTTTTCAAATAAGAGAAAACAAGGTTTTAAAAAGTTTTTCTTGATTTATTTTGTAAAAAGCATTCATATTGTACAAAAATAAGAAATGGCACCCTTCCTCATGATATCACACAACTTTTATTTCGTTCACGGGTAGGGGAATTCCCAATGTCAGATCCGTCAGATGAGGTCGAAGCAAACCTTTTTCTTTTCGGTAAAGGCGTTTTGCTTATTTCAATGTTGGCTTGTCGCAGGATTTCTTTGAATATACCGACGACATTTATACTGTCTTTTGCCGAGGCTTCAACATAGCCATTACCCCAGTCAAAACATACAATAGACTCCGCTGTTTCTTTCATTATAGCTCTTTTGTCATCTGAAATGTCCGATTTATTTCCCACGACGACTATCGGAACATGCTCACCCTTACGTTCAGATAATATAATGTCTCGCAAATATTTCACGCCTTGAAATGAGGACTCATCGTCTATGGAATACACTAGCACAAAAGCGTCACTCGTTGAGATAGCCAGTCTGCGCATGGCCGGAAATGAATGTGCACCTGCGGTGTCTAAAATGTCCAGAATTAGTTCTCGGCCGTCCACGGTGTATTCTCCTCTGTGAAACTCCTCCACGGTTTCTTTGTACTCACTGATGAAGCGGTCGTACAGGAACTGGGAAATTATGCAACTCTTGCCTACCCCGGCGGCGCCCATGATGGTCAATCTATAATGTAATTTGTCGTCCTGGTCGCCATTCCAATTAGGCAGACTTTGTGATCGGATTTTTCTGTGATTCGCATTCATGTTCACCTGTAAAATCAATATTTACATGATTTATTGCGGTTGTACATTTTTTCTGCCTCTAATATTCAATTTGTAACTATGCATCACTTATTCAGTGAGTTCATAATTATATAATGAATGATCTTTGTCAAAAATAGGGTGACACATCTATAAACCCATGATTTCTTCTGTATTACAGATATTCATTCATTCGCCTTTATTTTGGGACTTTTTCGAGCAAAAGACAGAATACTGACGAGTTATTTTCATTTCTTCTATTACATTTTCCACAGTGAAATACTGTAATTTATTTTTTAATTAAAGTGATACTTTGTAACAGTGTGTACCTCTTGTCACGGTATTAAAGGGAAAACCTCTTAATTTTCCCACTCCCACCCCTTCTTGAAAATATTTTTTAAAAAAAAACCCTCTGGTCTGTTGTGTCATTAAACGTAAATATAACATTGTTACACAGAATAAAATTGTTAAAGATTTTTTTTCAGATTGTTATTAAAAATCTATGTTTACAATGTTCGTATGACTCCCAACTGCTCTACAATGACGTTTGCCCATGACAATGCGTGAAAAAAAGAAAGCGGCAAAGGTAAATAAAAAGCATGAAAAAATAAAAAAACAAAAAATTAAATATATTTTTTTTAAAGATGATTGTGGAATTAAATTAACTCGTGAGACATTTTTTTTCCTATTTTTTTTTTTCACTTGTGTTTTGCACTCGTAAAAAATCAAATTTTCCTGTCCTGCTCGTGAATTAATTTAGTTTAATCAGTTACATAACTTAATTATCTGGGACAACTTAATTATTTGTCCTTTCAAAAATAAAACTCGTACAACAATACTTTTTTACTGAGATTTCAAAGATGTTCCCCCTTTCCCCTATACTAATACTTTCAATGAGATAATTCTATAATTTTTAAACATAAGAATAAACCAATACTACTTACACGTGGTGAGGACTGCGTAATCTCTATTACTGCTGAGGCGAGGTCTGTTAAGCCTTTATAATCAGGAGAGAGAAACCACTATTCATCGATCAGGAATCTGTCTTTTGATTGGTCGTATTGGCCAATGTTAAGGTCTATGACTCTTTCCAGGTGCACTTGTTAGAGTACAAACAAAGCAGAAACAAATATGTTTTAGAGAAAATAAGAATTTTTTGTAAACAGTAATGTTTTTCACAATAAAAAAATGGATTTTGCTATAAATCAAAGATACGTATTCATGGACAAAGGTTTGCCTTCTTCAAAATGATAGAGTACCTTATTTTTATTCGACAGAACAAATCTGATGTATGAAAATACAGTGTAAATTACATAAAAGAAAAACATAAAAAAAGATTATATCAAAATTTACTATTATTTAATAGAATCTTAAAACTAAAAGCATTCCATTCATGAATTAAAATAGATACAGACACTATGCAAATTTGCTTGACTTTCACTGATCAATGCAAGGAGATATAAATGAAGAACAAGTGATTAGAGTCGATTAAATTAACAAAGTTCTATATGAATATATGTAATTAAACAGAAAAAGTATGCTTATCTAATTAGTTCATAGTTTTATGTTCTATTGTACTAAAAAAGTATTGATAAAAGGAAACCCACCAACGGCTGTGACACATGCACACAATGTATGCTATTTTTTTTTTACTTGTATCATTATGTTTGTTTTTTTTTTGCTAATTGAACACTATCTCTCATCAACTGGTATTATTGTATGAAAGCATGGTTAGGGGTACATTGTTATTTACTATGTATAGAAGGTGCAGCTTTAGCATGGGTAAAGTGCTGGTGCTACCCTCTACTTCTCTATTCAATGTAAAATCACGACTTCCATTCACAGTATTTATCTGTTTTTATTCACATAAGTTTTTATCTACTTTCGCAGCTTTAAAGCAAAGATTAAAAACGTAAGCAAATCTATTCATATATATATATACAAATATGTTAAACTAGAGATCCATTGCCCTCAGCTCTTTCCCGAGAGTCGATGCTTTATCTTACAATATACATATGTAATAAAATAAATTGAAATACTTAACGCAGGGAATTACTTTAAGCAACAAAAAAATGGTATCAAGTATCCCAGTAATGTTATCCACGAACTTTGTTTTTAGAAATTGAGAGAGTTTATGAAATCATTATAGAACATTTAAAATACCACATCCTGTTTCGAAAAAAGTTCTACCCTTATTCTTTACAAATTCAAGAATGTAATGCAGCACACTATTCTCGTCGGCGATATTGTAGCACACACTTTCTTCCAGAATTACTTGATTGTTGACTGTATTGAGTGTTTCTCGCTTTTCTGCAAATGATTATTAAAAATCTTTCATTTTTATGCTTGTACAAAAGATTTAAGAGAAAATTATTTGTTACAAAACAGAAATCGATAATTATGTTGATGCATGGTTTTTTTCTGGATGTTCGTTAAGACACCGAGGCTGTAATATAAATGGAAAAATTAACTGAATGCTTTCGCGTTGCTTGGCTGAACAGTTCGTGCTCTTAAAACCAATAATGTAATTTTTTCATTACACAACCAGGTCAATTGGTGTTTTTCAATTAAGCAAAAAATAACAAAAATAGATAGTAAGGAATTGCTCATTCTATATATAATACAGACATAAACATATTTTTGCTAAATTGATATAAAAATGTTATTTCGAGGAAATTAAAAATAAAAGAAAAATATCCATTTCTAGTAAAGACAGACTTTTTGTTAGGCCATTTACAATGGACTTTTGATGTAATATGGAGGGGAAAAAACAATTTTCAATCTCTAACGTTCATTCAAACAAAACAAAATCGGAGCAGTGCAAATATACGGATATTTATATAATGTACTAGTACTTGCTATAAGGTCATTGCATCGACCATAGAACTTGCGAAATGATGACTTTAAACGAGACTGCTGATATCCTTGTTTCGTCAACTTGTTTGTCAATAATTTACCTCGTTTTAGAAATTGTTCATACGAAGAGCATGCCTTTGCATATCGAATCCACTGAGAGATATAAACCCAGTATGAAGTGATGAAGGTATATTAAGGAAAGTTGACGATTGAAAAAATATGGTCATCGCGTTTATCATAGAGCTTGGTTGTTAGATTACCATTAACGTCTTTTTTCAAGTAAAATATACAAATATGAAACAGATATGTAAGACTCAGTGGTATCTTTTTTTTCAAGCTCATCAGGATATACTCTATCGACAATAGAATGGAAATACCCATTGTTAATTGACAATACGTCGTCGATATATCTAAATTTCGAGTTGAAGGCTACTGTGTTTTCTTCTTTTCACATATTAGATTTTGGACAAGTTCAGCTTCGTATGAAAACAAAATATGAAAATGAGAAAAAAAAAGGTTTTTGAGTGTAATTATACACTGCAGTTTAATTTCATAAAATTCAATTATCTGTCTCTCAATTTTTTTAAACGAATTTTTATCATCACAATAACATAAATGCATGTTTATCATTAGTATTTTAAATCATTACATTGAAGGATTATTGATATGGTGGTGTAATAGATAAATAGATATGTTTGTTTTCTTTGTTTTGAATTCTAGAAAAGTACTTTTAGCTCTACATATTTTTGATGTTATGATCGAATTCCAAAAAGTGCATTTGGTGTCTCCTGGACTAATCATGATCTCTAGCTGATGATTTATATTGTGCTGTTGAATAAATACGACCGTAATATTTTCCGTGTCAATGGTCTATATTAATTCGCAAATAGCATGTTAATTTGAAAATTAGGGAAAAAATAATTACCAAAAAATCTGCTTTAATTCTCTGGAGAAAAAGAAGAACAATGAAGCAAGTTGTGTTGGGAGTTATAGAATAGACATTACAGAGAAATCAGAACACAAATTGAAAAATTAACGTAACTCATATTGTGCGGTACACACAGTGCACTGTGGATATCTTGTAACGCAAAATTAATTGAATTTGAAAAAAGGAAATGAAAATAAAAAAATATTTTAAAAAAGCAGCAAAATATCAATGCAATCATTGATAATGTATGCATCAAGAAAGGGAAATACAAAAGCCAGTAAAATCATCAATTATCATAATACATGTAGATGATTTTTTAATATATTTTATAAAAGCATTATCTTATTTAAGCAATAAAATGTATGTTTATCTAAAATTCTTAATCTAAATTCCGAGAGTTGGTATAAAATCAAGAATTCATACCAAAAAATCAAATCAATGTTAAGTTGTATTAAAGATATTATTAAAAGTGATTAAACCATTCCTTAGATAATCGGAAGAATAAGATTATGGAAAGTAGCAATGATAACGTCAATAGGATAGGGAAACTAATAAGTCCATAATGTAGCGTTTTAATAATACACAGGGACGTAAGCCGTTGGCATCGGTCTCACAATGATCCTGATATACACGATATCTCTTTGATTCACTTCTTCCATATGTAAACAGCCAACTGGGTTTTCATAAGATTCAATCAAACTTTACTCTGTTTCTTTGCAAAGTTTTAAATCCATTGTATGGAAAAGTAATAGAAAATCCATATTTGGATTTTTCAACACGACTGCCCTAACTATAGTTAAGTATAGTAAATCAAAGTTTAAAAGTTTTTGCCAAAGTTTTTCAAAGTGTCAAAGTTTTCGATACAGTTTTTCAAAGAGTCAAAGTGATCACTATATAGTAAACCAAACTTCTCTAAGTGACAAAGTTATAACTATAGTAAACTATAGTTAACTATAGTTTTTTGTTAGGGTGTTAAAGGGTCGGGTTTGTAAAAGTGGATGATGCAAATCCATAAAACCACCACTGCTCAAGTAACAATATGCTTCTTAAACTTGTCAAGATATGAATTGACACAGTAAATAATAGTAATATACACAACCTTTGTTGTTAGCTTACCATTAACTTTTTCTTTTACAAATCCAAATATGGAACACATGTATCAGACCCTGTGGTATCTATCATTTCAAATTTGGGGTACATCAAGCCGACAAATGAATGATAGTAAGTATTGATATCTTATAATAGACCTTAATATATCTTAATGTCGATTTGGAAGACACAGCAGGTGTTTTCTTCTTCTCCTGCAGAAGATTTTAAATAAGTAAATTTGTTTCATATGAATACTATATAATTTTAAAATTGAAATATGAAACAGATGCGTCAAGTTTGAGTCGACAGATCAATGAAAGTAAGTATTGCTATTTGATAATATGCCGTCAATATATCTTAGTGTCGAGTTGAAGGTCAGACCAAGTGTTTTCTTCTTCTCTTGTAGAGGATTTTGAATAAATTTTGCTTCAATGAATACAAAACATGTCTGTTAATGACAGGGCACAATTGGTACCGATGGAAATTTCAACAGATTGTTGGAAGACCTTTTCTGAAAACACTACATAGATTTTGTATCAATCAGAATCCCGAATATTTTTGAATATCAGCTTAAGACTAATTGTACGTAGAACGATTTTAACATAATAATTAAGCAAGTGTTAAAGTAAATTTACGAGTTTCATTTTAATTGAAAAAGTTCAGCTGTCTGTTCTAAAAAGCCTGAGTGTTAATTTATCGTTGGGAATGGTTGTTAAAATTGTGGACAAGTCATTCGTTATAGATAAACAATATTTTTAAATATATTGGTATATAAATTCCGAAAGTTTCTTCTTCATTGCCGTAATTTTTTTTGTAGGGGTTGGGGGTCAAAGAAACACACATTGTTGAACATTGACTTAAGACCGAGAGATATATCTATGTTTGTAGGATTTCTATGAAATTTAATAACCCAGAGAAGGTTTGGTAATTTTAATTCATTTTGAATTTATATTTAAATCTATTTTTGTTTCCTGTTGGAATTGGAATATTAATTGAACACGGTCATTAAAATTCTAAATTATTTCTTCTTAAGAAAGGGACCTTTGTGTTTTAGTTGGATTACCACTTCCAAAATTAAATCCCATACATTTTCTAAAATGAAATAAAAAATGAACCTAACAAAGAACGACAGCAATGTAACATACGATTTGCCAGCTTCTTGAATACATACTGATCGT